AATAATATCAATATCTCCTAAAATTCAGATGTATATTTAATGTAGTTTTAATTAAATCCAGTAATATTTTGTCAGAAATTTGATGAAACAACTTACATTGTATATAGGACAATATATGTCCAGCTATAACGAAGACAACTATGCAAAAGAAGAATGGTAGTTGTGTTGCTTTATGAAAGCATTGCATTTATATTCTAAAAAACACGGTGTTGGTAAAGCCAAAAAAAAAAAAAAGAACAAATACATAGGTGAGACAATTTAAAAATATATATCTATATTTTAAATATATATATCTCTATATAAGAAGTCAATAATTTTCAAATATTCTAATAGTTAAGTTTAATGAGTAAAGGTATTTATTTTATAAGTAGGTTTCACCTGTTAATAAAAATTAAAATGGAATTTTTTATACATATAATTAAATTTTCAGTTAATTTAAGTCTTAAATTCAAAGGAAAATAACTCTCAGGAAAACTGAGGAGACTAACTGTATAGTTTACGGTTTGGGGAATTCTATTAAAATAGTTTCTGTGAATGTAGTTAATTGAAAAATAATAACATTATTTGCTTCTGTAAGCACTTTTGAAACTTTTACAGAAAAAGTAAAAACAAAAGAAAAAGAAAACCAAGAGTCTGGGAAAAATACTCATAATTCACATGATATACAATGGGTATATTTCTCGATGCAAAAGACTCTTTCAAACTGATTTGGAAAAATCCCAATGCGCAAAGCAAAATAGACAATTTATAGAATATAAAGAAAATAGCTAAAAAATACAAGAAGAGTTTCTCTAGTTCAAGGGTATGAAAAAAGTAAACTGAAGAATAATATAACTCCATCAGACAGGCAAATTTACCAAGACCTGTAATATTTTCCCTGGTGGGTTTGTAGAAATAAAGGGTAGTGATTGTAGAAATGTATAATATCAAAGCCTTTTAGGCATGTAATCTGTCAACCTCTGCTAAAATTAAAATTTTGCATACCTCTGACTGAGCATTTGGGGATTATATTCAATTTATCCCAGTACGTAATGGTATGATACAATGATATTTAGCACAGTATTTTTTTAAAGTACTCAAGAATTGTAAACAAAATAACTACCTATCAATAAAGGAATGGGTGAATAGGCTCTTGTAAATTTGTTCCATAACTTTATTATAAAATTATTTCAAAGACCTAAGTAGAACTATGCCTGATGAGTTGGAATCTTAAAGACATTTCCAAAAGGTAATTCTGAGCAAGAAAAGCAAGATATCAATAGAGTGCATATATTACGATTTTTGGTAAAGTAAGCAATAACCAAATATCACATGTGTGGGCATCTAGGTGTCTATACATTGTTCGAGAGTATATTTATATGTTCATGAGAGTGAGAGTATGGGTGTATATATAGTCTGTGTACCTGTGAATCTGTAAAAGATAACATAAATATACAGAAAATAGAGAATAAATAACTCTAATTTTAATGAGGTAAAGTGCCGATAGCATAGAGGAGAAAAAAAAATGAAAGCTTCATGTTAAAAGCAAATATTATTTGATCTCATTTATGTAAGTTTGTGTGTACATGTGAGAAAATAAAGATTACAAAAACAAATTAACAATTGTTAATGAAATGCTAAGGGACTATAAGAAAACCAAAAATATAAAAGTGAAAAATCAATCAGTGGACATCAACATTTGACATTAAATATGTAAGCCAAAAATAAGGTTCTAGTGACTTCTAGACCTCACTCTAATTCTGACCAAGAAATTTTGTTACTATCTCCATTTCCAGTGCTGCCTTTCTTTAATATTCATATTCCCCAGCCTCACCTTCACACAAACACTGCTTGCAACCACAAACTCAGGAATGCTCGAGAACAATCATGTGGCACAGAACTGTTCTTACTGAATCAAGTTTTATTATGAGTCCACTGGCAACAGTGAAAGACTTTTCACACGGAATTTGTTTTTATGCTCTAAAGATATTGCCATTTTTATGAATTACTGGACAGTTTTGTCACATCTTGAAATTTTAAGTGACTCAATGTCTTACATAGCATGTTCTTTATGAGGACCAAAGGAAACAAATTCTCTCAGTTGGCAGGATAATTGTGTCCCTGTGGACTTTAATATTCACTGGAAACCACATCTTTGACTGGTCTCTGTCTCGGCTGGTGGAAAGAGCGATATAGAGCTTTACTCCTAGTTTCAGATTTTAACCTCACATTTCTCACTTATCTTTATTTATCATCACATGGAGGTATTTTGTAAGTCCTTTCAAATCTTTAGGATCAGTTCAGGTGACAGACACATATCTTCACACAAGCCATCGCTAACTGCTTCTCCTTCATACAGAGGAACTGTAAATCGGTATTGTAAGACCACACCAATTTTGTTGCACATTTTATCTAAATTAACTCTCCCCTTCTATTTTTCTCTCTGTGTGTATATGTGCTCTTATTACAGAAAAAACAATCTACTTTTGGTATTTTAAAATTCTCAAAATAAAGCACCTCTACAGGCACAAATGTGTGGACAATTCCTCTGGAGGAAGGTTGGTTCTCTCCTACAGGAGGGGACCAGGTAGTGAGGACACCTTAGGAAGCCTCTCTATGACAGCCTAAAATCTAGTTGGGCTACATGTCCCACTGGGCTCCACATTAGGCAGCTTTTTGTCGCTGAAACAAACAGCTGAATTAACTTATATGGAAGCAGGAAAGACATTTCTGTTTATATTGGATTCATATTTTTCAGTCTATGCTCAGTTGGCCTGTTACTCTTGAGCCCATAGTGGGGCAAAACATCACACTGGGGATTATGTGGTAGAGTGAACTGCTTACCTCATGGTTGCCAGGAAGAAAAGAGGAAGGAAAAAGAGGGCCGAGATGTGCCCTTCAAGGGCACACTCCCAATAAGCTAACTTCTTTCTCCTTCTTTCCCCAAACCCTAAAAGTTGCATCCCCTTCTAACAGAATCATAGGCTGGTAACCAAATCTTTAGTTCTCAGAGTCTGAAGGACAGTTATGATTATTCCAATAAGCTTCTTCATAGTTAGGCAGTTTGTTTCAACTTGCATTGAATCTATTCTCTTAAAAAATATTCAAAAGAGAAATATGTAGACCAGTTTTCTTTGCTTGCACAACCATTTTTCTTCCATGATTTTTTTGGTTGTGCCAACATGGTAATAGAAGCCAAAAAAGTTCATTATGCTCTTATTCAGGCAAAATGACCATCATTTTACCATGTAGATATGCAGCTTCTTTACACCAAATACATACAGCTTTGAACAAAATACAGGAGAGGATCATACATGGCTGCTTATTTCTGACAAATACATACAATAAATTTATCATATTAAAATAGCTTAACACAATATTCCTTTGGGTGTGTGTGTGTGTGTTATACATTTCTTTTTATTATTATATTAATGGGGTGGTGATGAGAGTCGGGTAGTGAATGGATATGGCCTTTCCTGAATGAGACCTCAAATCTCTCATCACTGGATCAATCAACTTCTCTGAGAGTCTCATTTGCCCATCAAGGGGAAGGTGGAGGATTCAGGAGAGCAGCAAACCCAGCTCTCTTTCGGCTAGAAACAGGCATTCTTCCTCAGACGTTAACACTTTTTATTCCCTGAAAGAGTCCATACTATGCTTTAGGGACAATTTGCCACCGAGCCACAGCTCTCCCAGTAAGTAAAATTACTGCTGTCTCTAATAGGCTTCTAATACGCTAGGGTGACATTAGTGATACTGGCCATGAGATATGTCTGACACAGGGCACAGGATTGGAGAATTTTGGACCAGGAGCCACTCATCCCTCCCATACAAATAACATTTTCCTGAGCTTAAGTACTTAACTCATAATACCATTACTGAGGAAAGAAATACTTTCCAAATACCAGTGGAATAATCTACTTCTGTGACAGTCTCCCCCACTAGACTGCATACTACCCAATGAAACCATTCTGTCTGAGCTTACTATGTGTTAAATAAAGGTAGAAATCAGGCTTAGAAGTAAAAAAAAAAAAAAAAAAAAAAAAAAAAAGGGGAGAGCCGACAGTAAACTTTTTA